CTCTGTCCCGAGCACAGCAATCGGCAGACATGATGGCGAGATGGGCGACCAAGAACAAGATGAACATCGCCGGCCACAAAACCCAAATCCTGGTTCTGTCTCAGTGGGCCCCTGACGCCAAGAATGTCACGCTCAAGGTCGCAGGATCGGACGTCACCGCAACATCTCATGTCAAGCTGCTGGGAGTGACGCTAGACCGCCTCCTCCACTTCGGCGAGCACTGCGCCAGCCTGCGCCGCAAGGTCCGCCCACGCACAGCACAGTTGAGGAAGCTCACCGGCCACTCATGGGGACTACGAGAGCATCACCTGCGCACAGTAGCCAACGGCTATGTTCGCGGCGCGTTAGAGTACGCTGCAGCAGCCTGGCTGCCGGCGGCCTCCCCGTCCCACGTGGAGCTGGTCGATCGGGAACTGCGCGCGGCGGCCAGGGCAGTCACCGGCTGTCCCATGTCGACGCCGACGCACGGCCTGATGGCGGAGGCCGGCATGGCCACGGCAGAGATGCGACGCACCACTCTAGCCACGAGAGTGGTGATGAGAGCAGCCTCGCTGCCTCCAGACGACCCACTGAGAGCCGTGGCCACCGCGACACATCACTCCCGCCTCTCCGCCGTTCGCGGCTGGCGCGAGCTGGGGCGCAACACCCTACGCGACCTGGGAGCGCTGGATGTTCCAGTCGAGCCCAGCCTTGCGGCAACTCTCCCTCCGTGGACACCTACGGAAGGAGTCTCCATCGCCCCCACCGCTGGACCCGCATGCGCAAGAGGCAGATCAGATGAGTCCCGGAGAACCGCGGCAGAGGACCTACTAGAGAAGCTCCCGGGGGCGGAGCGCGCGATCTGGATATGGTCGGACGGATCAGCGACAGGAGGAGTGACATCGGGCGGAGGAGGCGCCCACATCACCCTCCCGAACGGCAACACGGAAGAGGTCAGAACCCCAGCAGGCGTCTACTGTTCGAGCACAAGAGCGGAGTTGGTTGCACTCCGAGACGCGCTCGCAAAGATCGTGGAGATCGAGCAAGAGGACGCCGCCCCCGCCGGCGGTGACGACCCAATCATAGCCTGCCTAGACTCCCGTGCGGCGCTGATGACACTGGAGAGCGGTCCCGCAGCCCAGACTACCCAGCTGGGAGCCACCATCTGGCAGCAGCTGCTGCTACTGGTGGAGCGCGGTCGACCGGTGCACCTCCAGTGGGTGCCCGCCCACTGTGGCCTGGCCGGCAACGAGCGCGCCGATGCAATCGCAAAGGAGGCCGCAGGCATGGACCAGTCAAATGCCCCTATTGACACCAGGAGCGCCACCCGCGCCGCCGCCAGGTCTGCCCGGCGCCAGTGGCAACGTGCATGGCCAGAGGGCTGGTACAAGGAAATATTCGGTGAAGAACATCTACCGGGACCGGTCAGCGGTGACAACCGGATGGCCGCGGTTGACACACATCAGCTGCGGGCGGGACACTGGAGCCAGTCGGCCCAGTACCTGCACCGCATCGGACGCCGCCCAACTGACACCTGTCAGGGCTGCGCCGACACCGAGTGCCCAGCGGCTCGATGCCTGGTGTGCGGCGAGGAGGCGGACACGCCGCGACACGTGCTGCTTCGCTGCCCGTGCCTGTGCGGCACGCGCCTCCACGCGCTGGGAAACATGCACGGTCGACCACCTGACCTACGACGGGACGACGTGGTGGCGGCCTTTGCCGCCGGCTTTCGCTCATTCCAGAGCCGATCGGCTACGCCCCGGCAATAGCTGGGGCCGGGAGGAACATCATCATCATCATCAGCCCCTCCCCCCGCGCTGGTCTGACGCGACAGCTGGTCTACAAAGCGCTCCACCCGGCGACCCGAGCCGATGTCAAACGGCGTGGGTAGACTGTGCCGCTTCACTCTCGGGTCATGCGGCACAGCCTACCGGTACCAGGCGGCTGCTGCCAATGCTGAGCCATAGGAACCCGGTGGATAATGAGTAGGGGACCATCAACCTGTACACGACTGTACATGGACAAAAAGATGAAACGGAGCCTAATCTGAGAGGGCCCAGGAGTTAATACACAGTGTGCACACTGGGTTATCCCGCGCCCCGCTGGGCTATTTAGCCATACGCGCCCTGCTGGGGGGGGGGGGGCAGATTCTGCCCCCCCCTGTCTAACTTCCGAACCGATGGTCGTAGAAAGACGGGGAAAACGGCAATCGAAAGCTCTCAACAAGGCGGATCTTAAGAGCCCAAATTTTTTGCTTAAGTAGGTCAGAGGTCAGGTCAAGGTCAGGTCAAGGGTACAAAATGCAAGTTTCTACAGTATCGGCCTTGCACCGTAGTTGCCGAAGAATGGACTGAGACTGATTGCCCAAAACGTGTTCTTAGACTACCAAGACAATATTCGTTGCATACAATGTCATTCAAAGGTCAAGGTCAAGGTCAGGTCAGGTCAGGTCAGGTCACCAAAAACAAAATATAGAAAAGGGCATGTGCGACACATGTTTTATGGGTCATTTTACTCATAGAATTCAATAGGCACACTCAATAAGTGATATGGACCACCTCTGGATGAATTTCAGGTCGAGGTCAGGTCAAGGTCAGGTCAAGTGAGGTCAAATTTTGAAGTTGGTTGTTAAGGCCTAAAAAGGTGTCTATCTGATGCAGTTTTTCACGGTGAATCGAATGGTGCTATTTTTGTTTCCGTACGAGGTCTAGAACTTCCAAAAAAATCATTTTTCAAAATTTTGTGTGTCGTGACGTCATAAAATTTTGAATAACTCCCACATTTTTGAACCGATTCTTCTAAAAATTGGTATGTAGGTGCACATAGACCACTTCTCTGACATATATTCCGGTTTTTTCGATACACTCAAAATTTTGGATTTTATAATTATTTTCCCAAAAAAGTCAGTTTTTTGAAGAAGAAAAAAATTGGCCAAAATCCAAAATTTTCAAAAAACCGAGATAGCCATTTGATAGAGAAAGTAGAATCACGTATAACCTTTTTGTTACGTCTTGATTCCTCTAAAAATGAAGGTGTTAGCGGCGTTTGAAATTTTGCCGTTTTTGAGGCGAAAATGGCGAACATGACGTCACTAAAACGTCAATTTCTCAAAAATTTTCCGACGGATTTCGCTTAAATTTTCAGGGAACGTGTCAAATTGATGTATGATAAGGTACTGTAAGTTTGACGTCGCTGGCTTAACGCGTTTAGAACTTATTGGCGAAAAACGGGAGGGGGCAGATTCTGCCCCCCCCAGCGGGGCGCGGGTTATACCCCATGGGGTATGGGCCTAGCATGCATTGGTCTGACCCCTGCCACATCGGGCAAGAAAATCTCCAGCTCTTATCAGACCTGTCATCGCGGAACTTCCGATTTTTGATATCGTCATCGACGTGTGTCGTATAACACGACTGGCCGAAAACGGGCTTAATATATTTCAACTAACGAGCAAAGAGCATGACTTTAACCCAGTCCGACCTCGGAGTCAAAATACGAACAATTTCGAAGACTCCAAATCCGACTCTGGCCAGAACTCTCAACTCCGTCTGACTCTGGCCCCGACCCTACAGTTCAGCAGTCACAATACACTAACTTTCCAGCTTCTAAAAAATAAGCTATTAGCTATACCTATACCTACCTACGGTTGGCTTGACGGGACCGCAAAACTTTGAGGCGACTTGACTACTTGTCACTTGACTTGGTGACCTGACCTTAGGTTTTCTGGTATCAGGCTTGGTACACGGGCTAAGGGCTACAAAATTTGTATTTTGGAGCAGTTTTCCCAAATGTTATTTGCCAATTTTCGGGGCGCTTCGCGTCGCCGATTCATACACATGTCAAAAAGAGCGATTGTACCTACTGCAGTTTAAAACCCCATGTTAAATGGCATATTTCCTTAAACATTAAATGCGTCGTCCCGAAAAGGCACGGTAAGAATGCCTTCTTTTGGGTTTTCAGTCGGTCAGTCCGTCCCCCCCAGTCAAAAATCCGTGGCGGCGCCCCTGTAAATAGGTACATATCTGCATATTGCATATGCACGTCGACGCGCAATTTGCGCTAGCACCGAGGTCACCTGAAGTCATCATATTCGAAACGGCTGATGAAATCGCAAACGGAGAATCAATTGGTAGTGTTATCGTCTCGATCAGCCCATATAGGTACTCCCTTTACCCAGCCAGCCATCCCAAACGGGGCCCATATGGGCTGGAAGTGGGGCATCTGGGCGAATGTGGGCTGGGCTACATCTGGGTATGTCATGGGCGTCCAACTGGGTCCCAGCCAGATGGGCTAGATGTGCTAACTTTACGTGCTTGGCCAGCGCCTCCACCCCGCTACCCTGCCTGATCTGTGCCGCTACCCTGCCAGATTCGATGGCCTGATCTGACAGCCCCTGCCCACGGTTCGTCGGAAACAGTCATTTCATCCACAAAAGAAACGAAATATACCTACCATTCGAAAGCTGACGGTGAGCTGATTCCAATAATGTATTTTTTATCGAAATCGTTCGATGGCCTTTTTCAAAAATTAAAACGTAATAATTTTTTATTCAACGAGCTGTCCAGTGTCCAGGACAGATCTGCCTGTATTCACCCTGATCTGCCCGGCCTGGACCCCCCCCCCCTGAAGTTTTGAAAGATCGCCACCCCTGGGGGACACATTTTTTGCCCCCCGGTATCTCCGAAAGTACTGTACGGATCCGTAAAATTCAAACGGCGTTCGATAGCCTTGTCAAATTTGTCGAGGAAAACCAAATTTCATTGACCTCGGGGACGGGGTCACCGATGACGTCACAGGTCAGGTCAAAGAAAAAATGTTTTGCTGGTCACGGGTCTTCTAGAGAATAACACCGAGTAAAACGCATTTGGTCGAAGATTCTACTGGGTGGGAACAGGCCCCTGATTGTGATAGGATCAATATTCCTTTACGGCTACTCCTTGATATCACGATCAAAATATGGTAGATAATATACTTGATATGGTAGCTTTTCATATGCGGCGCAGCTGCGGCGTTCACGAGAAAACGTTTCCCGCCACGCGCTTGCCAAGCGTCAGAGTTCTTGTTTTGTTTTGGGAGTACAAGGAGTACAAGTAGGCTGAGGTCCAGGTCCAGGTTGCCTGCGTTGGTGGTTAGTCCCGTACAATTCTCATATCAGCATGCTTTTGGTAAGTGTGCTGTAACTGTGTTGAAAACTTGAATATGTATGATTTTCGCGTCATTGCAAGCTTTTAATTTGCATCAGGACTACTGTAGATAACTCAAACTCGGTCGTGTGAGAATTCAATGGGACAATTTGAATTTGGTGACCAAGGGCTAGGTTTACCAGCAGGAAAATTGCCTTCTGTGGCTTTTCTCATCTCAAACTGCCCCCTGAATGCCATACCTGCCTGCCTAACTGAAATGCATTTTCTTATATCAGCAGTTAGGTATTTGTATGTATCGTGCAGGCTGTTTAATCTTGTGAGACTTTGAAATGAAACTTCTGCCAGCACTCAGCAGGCAACTTTTTTTGTCTGCAAAATTGGCCTCAGATGAAGATCAGGGTCATTAAGAGCCGTAATAGCCAAAATGGCTATTACGGCTCCTTGTGGGACTTAAATGGCTCAATCAAATTTGTATTTTTGTAATATGGCCAAACAACAAAGATTAGATGCTGATTATAGCAGCTCAAACACCTCTAAAAGCAATTCCTCTATACATACAATGCTAACAGAAATCGCCCACTTATTCACTGGCAGTTTTCAATGGATTGTTGCGCTGTAGATAATGTACAGAGTGCAGCTCTATGTTCACTCAATTTTTGTTGGCGTAAAGCAGGTATCACACTTGTTTTTGGCAACCAAGGAGAGGCGCTACACCCAGGGATGCTTTCTGATAAAACCAAGCCCAACCAAACCTAATTTTACCTTACCTACAACCTGCAACCTAAAACCCACAACCTACAACCTAAGACATACCACCTAAACTTGAAACCTAACCTATGGTGTCTCTTCTTGGTTGCAAAAAAAAAAAAACAAGTGTGAACTGTGATGCCTTTTTTACTGCTACCCATTTTTCTTTTATCAGCTTGCTGCAGTTTCTTGGCTTCTCATTGGTTGAACTCACATGGATGGCTTAGGCTTGTCACCAGTGAAATGCCAAGGTACATGGGATGATGGGGATCTAAAAAAGGTACACACTACACAGGAATCTCATCTCCATATATAACAAAATCTGCCAACTGCAATTGAAACAAAGAAAGATATAAAATGCTCAGCAGGAAACCTTAAAAAAACTGAAGCCTAAGATGTTTAATGAAAAATAAATGCCAGAACCGTGTTCCTGGTCATCCAATCTATAAAGTCGGGCACAATTTAACTGGTTTTAACAACATTTTAGAAGGTGGGATAGTCCCTTTAATAGAGTAACAATGTGTACAGAATGTATATCTCGGAATTTTGATATCGGTGACCTAATGTCCGGTCAATTTAGTTAGCGACCTCTCCATTACCTATAAGTCAATGGGATAAAATTGAAATGCGCCTCTTTTGGACGAATGGTGTTCAAAACCCTCTCAAACATCGGTTCATGGTTTAATATGGCACACTGAATCGGAAAATACACATGTGACCCCTCTGTATGCCCCTGAGGTCATCTCAGGTCATGAACGGTCACCAGCAGTTTGGCTATAACTTTTGATAGAGACGTGCTAGAGCGATGAAAACACGTCAAATGTATTCAGCTTGACGATACGGATCGACTGATGTGCAACATGGCCCTTTTCGGTCAGGTCATGACCTTGATCTGAGGTCAAATTTTCAAAATGACCTTTCAAGGTCAACGAATAGTCATTCGACGCGTCTCGACGAGAGGAACACGGTGCTGGCAAAAATGTGGCTTGCTTGAATCAAAAGTTATAACCGATAAACCTTTTTCGTGAAAGCGGCTATTTTTAGTGTTTGCACTCTGGAGGCTAAACCGTTGATCTGAGGTCAAATCTGAGAACATTACTCAGAAAGGTCTGTAAAAGGGCTATCGAATGCGCTTTTCCGCGGCGCTGTAGCTCTACATATTGGTTCCCGAGTTAGCCGTTGGCAGTTTCCAAAATTGTTCAAATGACTACATTTGACCTTTGATGACCTCTGGCGACCTGACGTTTGATCCGACCCAAAAATGACTGTAGTGTTTTCGTCATTATTTTTGACGCTCTTTAGAATGCCGCTTACCACGTGTCGCTACGTGGCCCAGGAGCTTAGTTACACGGGGGGGGGGGGGGCATAAGCGTCGCCACGGGGGGGCAAGCGGGGCAGCTTGCCCCCCCCCCCAACCTCGGACCGGGCACCCCCTGAGATCGATACAGATCCGATGAGATTTTGGAGTCGGGAAAAAATGGGGGTACCTTTCTGAGAATGCCTGTGAGGTCAGACTCGGTTGGAGCGTGCAGTTCAAACCAGAGTCTGACTCGCAGTCTCCAAAATTTTCAAGACTCCGAGTCCAGACTCGGAAATGTCAATGCTGTGATTCATTCCATGTTCCTATAGTTCGTTCTTTATTACATTTTACAGCTGATTTTCGTAAGTTTTGGAGTGCTGACACAATTTTCGTTCAACGCGTGAAACGAAATCTTCGGGGCCTTTCTCAACTCTCGTCAAATGTCTGCGACAGGCTCAAGTACCGTACAGTCTGTCTTAACCCATTAGATACGCTTGGCAGCTTTTGCTGCCACAGGACAAAATAGCGCCGCATTCCTAAACGTTGCGGTGAACTTTCAAAGTTCTCACCCGAACGGAAGACCAAAACAATGCACGTCATGTGCGCTCCGAATTACTGATCGAGAAAGCGAATGTGCTGAGAAATAAACAATTTATCGCGGGGAAGCAAGGGGCGCGCGATGGCGGCCGTGCAGCGGACACCAAAGAAGTCAGTTGCGAAGGTGGTGTGAATAAATGTTACCTTTTTATTATTGATTATTGTAAAGAAATGTGTGATTATCAATGGGAAGAGCTTAGGTGCGACATGAATTTCTCTAAGTATCGCCAATCGTGCGTTATATTTAAGTGGCAGCAAAAGCTACCAACCGTATCTTACGTAGTCAAAAATGGAGCAGTTACGTCCTTTTTGCTATGCCATTCGTAAGTGAGCAACAATGTCTGGCTTTATGGCTCATAGTGTAATGCCCCAGTTCTTTGCCTTTCCAAAAATGGTCATTACCGGGGTTTCTGCTATTTATTCTTGTCTGCAGAGCATTGCATACCAACACACTACCAGGCGTGTAATGTATTCCGCCATTGCTGAAGCAGGGACGTTGAACGGAGTGGTGCGGACAAACTGTCATCAGAGGCGCCATCCCTCAAGGGGCGCGCCGTCGCCTAAGGGAAGGTGGTGCCGTGACTCTATAGATGAACGGGAAGGGGGGCGCCTGCTAGGCCTGTTGGGGCGCCTTTGAGGCCTAACTATGGGCCCCCGCCCCGCTCCCGCCCCCCATGCAAAAGAGGGGCGCCTACGAAGGTCATGGCCATAATGGCGCATCTGCACGGATGAGGGGCGCCTGCATGCCGAAGAGGGGCGCCTGGTCTATAAGGGTGCATGTAATGTCCATAGGGCACCTTTATGCGAAAGAGGGGCGCATTGCATATGAAAAAGAGGCGCATTGCACAAGAAAAAGGGGCGCCTCTGAGACCTATAGGGGCGTCTTTGATGACCAAATGGGCGCTTACATGGGAAAGAGGGGTGCCTATAAAGCTTAACGGGACGTCCTCCATGTGAAAAAGGGGCGCCTGGGACTTGAGCGCCCTTCCGAGCTGTCCGAGGTCGCCGGAAAGTTTGTACATGTCCAGCTCCTGCTGCACTATCCTCCAAAATAATTCGATTGGATTTAGGCCAGGACTGTTCCCTAGCCTAGTGTCCTTCCCCCAGATATCGGGCAGATGGTCCTAGCACCGCCTAGTTCCGGAAGATCGATGAGATGGAGTACCGTCCAGCATGAAAATGCTGTCCGACCTGCGGGACACCATGCGCCGTTGGAGCACGGGGTAGTGGTCTTTTACTGCCAAATGCACGCTTTTTCAGTATGTTTTCTAGATAGTAGTCGGGATCGACTTCGTCTTTTGCTAGATCACGTCCAGCTGGTTCAGCTCAGGCCCAGCTAGGACATCGTGATCGTTCGACATACCATTGCGGCGAGAATTTTTCGCAGAAGTCTGTCGGAACTTGGGCCGCGTTTTCAGCCCATGCTCGTTTTGGGGGTCCGTGTGGTGAAACCATTGAAACGAAGACTCGTCGCCGAACTAGACCCGCTTCTACATACCTACTCCGTTTCCACTCTTCTACCGGCCAGATTCTCCGTTTCGTGCAAATCTGAGGGCTCAGGGCTTGCTGATTTTCGTTATTTTGGCCGCACCAATAGTCAAGCGCCTTCAGTCCAAGGGTGTTCCTCCCTTATCAATGGACAACATTATCCGAGTGATCATTATGAATAAGACTTCAGATTCTCCGCAGAATGGTCAGAGTTCCCAGGTGCTTTCTTCATGACGATCTTGGGGACGGTTGAGACTCAGGAGGACCATGCTGATTGGGGCTTATGCGTGACGCTACTTGTCCCTAAACTTCTTCCACCAGCGCTTGTTGGTGAAAACGGGGGCTTAGAAGTGTGAGGCAGCGTCCTTCCATGTGTTGCCACTTGCCAGCTTGGAGCATGCCAACAGCGCAACTACGAACCTCTCAACTGTAAAGCTAAACCTTCATGCTTAGACGTTCAGTAAATGCGCCGTTCAATGGTTAAACAATTACCCATGCGCATGCCAGTGACCCCCATTGGTAAAGGTCAGCTTTTCAGATAATATCCGCTTCAGAGAAAGACTCAGGGACACAATTCGTTGAAAGGAACGCGATATTTAGGAGCACATTGGAAACACGCCAAGTTGCTTTAACTAAACGGTCGACGGAAGTCATCAAAACCTTCGTCGCATCCTATATAAGATTTTGTGGGGAGGGGAAGCGCGTGTGAGCTGAAATAATGAGAGAAAGAACATGATCTCTCAGAACGAGCTGAACTGTTAGCTGAGGTCTGGATTTTGAGTTCATTATTCTTGAGAATTATTGGCTACGGTCGTTATTTGCAAGCTACGGTCGAATGGAAATCCGAACAATTACACATATTCAAGATCATATCTGGTACGTAAATAAA